CCCATCGAAAATCGTTTTTTTGTACGTTAGTACTACATATTTTCAAATTGTGGAAACTATCGATGGTCAAAATTTAAAAAATTCTTTGAAATTCAACCAAAAATAGTCATTCAAAAACTCATGAGTCTAGAAAATCGTATTTTCTGACCTAAATCGACAGGCTGCGACCTCTAAATGGCCTTTAAAAAATCTATAAAAATATGCAATAATATTTCTCATAAAAAACGAATCAAATTAGGGGGTAGGGTCTTTAAATTTTCAAAAAAAGCATTGTCGATGGGAAACCTAATGTATATACTATATAGCCTTTCTTTTGTTCGCCCATTCATCAGCAGCAGTCACTCAACATTTGAATTCAATGAATGAATTAAATAGAATTATAATCTGATGACATGATAAGGTTAGAAGCCTTATGGCTCCTTGGAATCTGCCTTATGGGCAGTAGCGCCGGCGTTTCTAGACGCGCCGGCGTCGCCGCCGCCGCCGATTCTTTCTGAAGTTGACCACGCCGCCGCCGCAAAGCCTGTCGGCGTAAACCTCTATTCTACATACAACAATAATAATTTCTTTATTTTTCTACTCTCAGGTATCCTGGATACGCAAACGTGACTTACATATACTCACCGTCGGCATACTCACCTACACAAATGATCAACGATTTCAATCGCTACACACCGAAGGCTCGGACGAGTGGACATTGAGGATATCATCGCCACAGCCCAGAGATTCCGGCACATACGAATGTCAAGTGTCCACAGAGCCGAAGATAAGTCAAGGCTTTCGACTGAATGTTGTTGGTGAGTTATGAGGCGATTTAGAGTGCATGTTCACCCCGGTAGATATCCTGATTGATTAGAGTAGTGTATGCGGGCGTAAACTGTGCTTGTTGTGATGCTTATTATATTGGGTTTCTCATTTTTATGCTGTAAGTAGATAGATTTTAATTGAGCTGCTTAGGAGTGCTGCAATCAAGCTGCTGACTGAGCAAATAAATGCAACTGGGCGAATAAAACCGTCCATACGATAATCGAATTTTGTTTCACCTTTTTCGATTAAATTTAATAGTTTGTTAAAGAGCAAAATCTAACGTACTCTTTCGGCTCGATTAAGTTATAAATTTTGGCAAAATTTGCATAAACTCATTTCATTTTTATTTCCCTTTCATTAAACTGTTCGTAAGCTCACCTTAGCTTTAACTGCATTAAATGCCTTAACTTAGTTTACTCTGGCGTATAGCAATGCACGCGAAAATTTTAATTCCTTGCAAGTTTTTTCATAAAAATTAGTCCCAACTTTTGGCACAACTTTCGTGAATTTCGACACTGCGGCTAAATTACAACCAACTTTGCACGCGTTTTCTCTACGCCGGGCAAAAATAACCGCGTTTTCGCCGTTCTCCTCTCCCAAGGAGAGCAAAGCGCAAAGGGCCAACTGCCACTTAATTTTGCACATGAAACAAATATTGATGAAAGGCAAACAAAAAATGTAAAAGACAGGGCGTAGCGGCATCGCGAACTCACACACCCTTCTCACATATTCACTCGCCATTTTTTGAAAATTCATTCACTTCTGCTTTACTTCACACGCCATCAACTTTAGTTAAACCCGTTTGGTCTGCTTTTTTTTTCATTACCCACTTTTGCTGGGCGCTTCACTACCCTCGGCTTGTCGGATAGGTGTGTGTGTGTGTTTGTATGTTTACATATATATATATATATATATATGAATGTGTGTTTACTTTTAATATCCTCTTGCCAACTTTTAGCATTTTCTTCTCTTTTATATGCTTACAGTTTCTCGCGCAAAAATTCTTGGCAATTCGGAACTTTTCATCAAAAGCGGCAGCGACATAAATCTCACCTGTCTTGCCATGCAATCGCCCATACCGCCCTCCTTTATTTATTGGTATAAGGGTAAACGTGTGATGAATTATTCACAACGAGGCGGCATCAATGTCATAACGGAACGTTCGACGCGCACCAGTAAATTATTGATAGCGAAGGCAACGCCAGCCGATTCGGGGAATTATACATGTTCGCCGAGCAGTTCAGGTAAGGCCACATTCACATTCACTAAAGCACCAACAACAAAAGGTATGATGGCACTGTGAGAATTATAAACTACCAACTACTAAACCCAGCCAGCCATTATCCTTTTGTAAATATGCATTCCAGCAACAAACATTCATATTTCAGCCCGCACAGCTGGTAGTCCGAAATGGCGGTGGTGTGTGTCCCCTAGAAATTCTGTATCCCCTGCACGGATAAAGTGCATGAATACGTACTTATATCCATATGGAAGTGTATATTTTTGTATGTGTAAGTGTAAGGTTTGGTTTGCCGCCCAAATTTGTGTGGCATCGCGTTTGTGCTGCATGCGGCCGCTCTGCGCTGACATTATGTAAACTCATAGATTAAGTCTGTGGCATGAACGTGTTGTGCCGCTGCTCAACTCTTTCTGTTTTGTTTTGCTGTTCGTGTGCTCAAACTATCAAAATATCAGTGGAGTTATAAGCAAATATAAAATGGGCACAAATGCGTAAAGTGCTTACCAGCAATTGCGGTGTAAAAATACTAATATCGTTTAGCAAAATGAGAGGTACAGGTACATACATGCGCATACAAGTACGTAACAGCCAAACAAATTATGACACCTGTCTTTTTTTTGGTTAAGTATTCACTTGGAAAATTATGGAAGTTTTGAAGAGTAAGTAAAAAATGCCGGTGGTGATCTACTTAACCATACCAATAATTTCAATTTCTATATATTTTCTTTCAAATGTTGTCGCTTTAATTTCCTTTGCTCAAGATGGGTGTTTTATAGGGGGAAGTTTAGTATAGAACGGCTCTGTCTAAAATTTTTGTTTATTTAGAGCCTTTCTATATTAATATAACGATATCTCCTTTAGTAAATATGAATAAATATTTTATTCTAGTGAGCTACTGGTAATTTGTACAGATTTGGAACTTCTGTATACCTAATATACTTAACTCAATTTGGATTATGACGATATTGAAGTAGACTTTCTCTGCACTGTGGCCTAAAAAGCCAAAAAATATCTTCTAAATCTCGTATGCTTTCAACTTTGAACCGGTAAGCATACAGCACTTGCCGATAAAGTGTCTGCATGTCGTTTTTTTTTCTTTTTTAAATTGACTAGTTTCTAAGGGGTAAATTCCAAACACTGCAGAAGGGTTAAGCCAGATATTCGATGTGGGATTAACAATAAAAGCCTTGTAAGTTCTCTTATGGGAGATGCCACCTGTCAGAAACCATGTAACTTCTCCCTAACAATGAAAATCGATGGTTAAATAAGAATGTTGCGAATGGTCAAATAAAATTGTACAAATATTTGTCGGAAGAATTAGGAGCAGCAAATAATGTTACTCATGCGCCACATAATAAAATTGTACAAACATTTGTCGGATGAATTAGGAGCAGGAAATAATGTTACTCATGCGCCACAACGTACATGGCAGTACTCGTACATACTCGTAGGTACATAGCGTATGAGTAACTTTTTCCATGTTAAAGTTTTCAGTTTTTTTCATTCGAATGCAAACTTAAATTTAAAATGTCTTAAGAAAGTTACCTGCTCACCGAAAACGGTATACAGATCCGTAATCTGCGACCCAATATTAAGTTTACTTATCTCGGCGTTTTTTGTGTCATTTAACACCCCTACAGTGTTATTTATAAATCATGTTTTCTTATTCCAATTTTTCTCAAGTAAATTTCCGGTTAATAATGATATGCTTAATCCGCTAATGGAACCCCAAATCGCAGGTTCTTAACTGGTTAATTCTCGCAGGTACTAAGCTTGGTTCAAAATATGTAGTTATGTAACTGCAAATGATTCATTTAATTTATCTCATTTATAGGGGCTATTTTTATATTTCACATAAATATTAACATACTTTCGCATAAAATAAATTAGTATTTTAATAAAAATTATTCTAAATATTAATTCGACTGATACTCATTCATGCCGACGAATTTTAGGTCACACAGCTTATTTCTATAAAATAATGCATTTACGCAAATACCGAAATTTCTACCATATCTCTTTAGAAACTAAATATCTGTACTTACTTTTAAAATATTTTAAGATTATCTAGCTCGGCGGCATTTTTCTCTTTCCAACACTTCTATTTGCTTAACACTTCCAGTTAAACACAGCCATCTGTGATTTCTTTCATTGAACTGTCATAAAAAAAAGAAAACCAAAAACAAAAAAACCTTACCACAAATTCCTGTGATTTCACCAAATCCCGAAAAACAACATCATCGCAACACAAAAGCTGAAGAAACAAATTATTTTTCAACAACCGCTTTCACATTGTTCTCGAAAGACCAAAGTGGCCAGAACAGAACGAGAAGAACAAGCGGTGTCAATCAATGACAGAAACACTCAACCGAGCAAAGTGGAAGTTGGTCAGGTAGAAATTCATCCCTGCATCCATGGCTGACCGGGTGGCTTTATTAGTTTAACCAAGTATATGCAAATATTTTCGTTTCATTTCTTTTGTTGTCAAATTTGTAGATGTTTTTTTTTTTTTTTTGATTTTGCTTCTGAGCTTTAACCAAGCCAATGGCGCTTAAGGTGTTGCTAGGCAACAGGAAGTGTTGCTGATTGTTTATATTTTTGGCTACTTATTCACTTACTTACAAATGTATTTACTTGCTTGCCTTTGCCTAGGTTTGATGAACGGAAACGAGGGCACAACAATAACTTCAAAGGCAATTTAAATGCCGCTAACAGAAACTGTGAAGTAAGCTTTTGAGTAGAAGTGGACAAATATACTTAAACACAAGTACATGTGCACACATACAGTTCACTTAAAGCTCGTTAAAATAAAAAAAAAGAACTGGATTGGCATACGGAGTTGGGCTTTCGCATGTAAAATATCCTGCTGCCTTTCTTGGTCGACTTGTTTTTCCTCAGCTACTGAGTTTGCTTTTGTTATTTTCCTTGCTTTTGTTTGCTTTCTGTCGCTGTTGTGCCATCTCTCCATCACCGGCATGTAGACACTCCATTAGTCAGCCTAACGATGTCACAGCTGCTGCAAGGAAAATTGGTTATTAAATCTCGTTCGTTCTGCGCCACCTAATATGTACTCTCTTCCGTTTATAATGCTCCAGCAGACGCTAGGCTTATTGGTCTTTCATGTTATTGTTGTTATCAGCTTTCGGACAGTTTCTTGCCATTGTGTGTGTTGTTTGTATTGACTGTCCTTGGTAAATTAAAGCTATGACGGTGAAGCGACGAGAGCAGCTTAAGCAGTCAACCTGAGCAAGAGCTGGTAGATAAATTTGAGAAAAAAGGATAACAAATCTTTGAAGTAGAGGATTTTAAAATACATACTTTACTGATACAAACATATTAAAAAATTTGTTGTTTGCATTTTAAATTCAGGCCGGACACATAGGATATTCATGCATATCGATTCAAAATAAATGCGGTCATATTTGCGTAAACTATAGTTGACACTAACCATTAAAGACAAGTAAAGAGAAAGCCATATTAAATGTATGTATGTATTTATAATGAGGTGGGCGTATTAGGAGTACCTTTTTGAGAATTAAATTTCTTTCAAATTGATTTGCTTTTGTAGCTTAAAAATGCGGTGGGAACCTAGAAACTACCGAAAGAAATTTAACTTTTAATAGAATGTATCAGAGAAACCATTTTCCACTTAATAAATGAATAAATAAGTTTAAAATAAACATATCATACAAAGATCCATGCTTACATTAAGCCCAAGGCTGCAAGCCCAACTACTTTAGAACATAAAATATCAATGAGAAAAACAAAATGATTTTTTTAACTTTTTTTTAGTTATTTACTTTATTTTATTAAATTTCATATTTATTTACATATTCTGCTGTAGGTGGAAGTATATTCGAACTCCGTCAGACATAACTTAAAAATGATAATATAAAGTTGCGATCTTCCAAAAAGAAATTGTATTCAAGGTTAAATTTATATGAGGATATTTAAATAGAAACTTGTTTAAAGAAAACAATCTCCCGAATGCGTCTACATTACCCCTGCATTACTTTTCTACTAGTTTCAAGCAGAACTGTTAAATTTTTTTAATTTTAATCATTATTTTAATTTTTTTTTACATAACCCATCAATAAATACTTTGTTACTATTAAGGTAATCAAAAATAATCATGCTATTAAACAAAATAATTAATATTAATCAGGTAATCAAAAATAATGAAATAATCAAAAGTAATCAAATTTAATAACATTATTTTATTTTTAATAATAATAAGTGTCATCGTGTTAATTAACTACATTTATTTTATAAAACGGGGGTTCATCTTTTTGGTACACGAAAATCAGCTGTAAACTAGAGGATTAATTCATCCGAATATATTCGAGTGTGTATTTTTCCATTCCGTACAAGCGCCTGATATTTTGCTGATTCATAATTTGCTTGCACTGTAATTCGAATACTATTCTTTCCCAGTATATGCAAGGATTCTACAGCCCTCCTTCTGCCTGTCTCTCAACGGCTGTAAAAGAGGGGACAAGTATGAAGAGTGTGCCTGCTGACAAATAATAATAATGCATGGTCATAAGCTGCTTTCCTCGATCAACCAATAAAATTTGTAACTAATATCTCCTCTCCTCGCTTTAAAAATGTCTATCCTCGTTCCAAGCGAAACATAGCATTTTTATGAAACATGTTTTAGTTAGAAAAATCGGACTAAAATTTAGCAGAAAAAAATATCTTAGCTAAAAAATTTTAATTTCAATAGTTTTATTGGGAAAAATGGATGAAACAAGCACCTTTAGCACCTATTTCGGAGATCATATCTCGTCATCAGACTTCTTTTTTCTAGACTTTCAGTAGGGATCGAACCCGCATCACCGATGTGCAATGCCAGAAGCACTAACCCCACTGAGCTGTGCACACCCCGTAAGCTCTTGTTGCTAATCCATTTCCTTATAACATTACTAACAAATGCTTTGCTTCGCGGCGCTTGATAAAAACTGTTTCGTCGGTCAATGAAAAAAAAAATGCTCCCTGGTCTCCCCACCGAAAAAAGTATCCTCTATGTTAATCCAGGCGATAACCTAGCTAATTTCCAAGCAAATCGGACAATGAATGCAATTTTTCCTATTTTCAATCCAGATTACGTAAACTGTGTGAAAAATTTAGTTTTTAAAAAGGTGGCAAACATCTTCAAAACTATTTTCGAAATTAAGCTCTCTTAAACCTCTTCGTTTGATACTTTTATTATAATATTTGATTGAACTTATTAGTTTCATTTAACTTTTTTACTTTCAAAAAGCAATAGCCTATATATACATATGTTTCAATCCGAAACGTATTTAGATTAGTTGCGTGCGAAATTTTATTCAAAACCGTTTAGTCGCTATTGACTTTACAAACTTTCTCATTTATAATGAAAGAAGGATTTCTTTTTTATTTACTCACATGCAACACAATAGCAAATATTTTTTTCCGTTACAAAAGCCACTTACAGGCATCATTAGGAGTCCTTGTAAAATTCTTACAAAATTACTCTTTTCAAGAAGCAAACATGAATACTTACTGTTTTATACATAAATATATACATACATGTATATGTATGTACTTGGCTTATACATAGTTACTGAATACTGCGACAAAGTGTTTTACCACGAAAATCCATTAACAGTTCTTAAGTAAAAAGTTTTATTGCCATAAGGACATTCGCCGTAAAAGGATTTGCTGCTATGTAAGGATTCACGTGTTAGGCATAAAATGGCCGAATTTCGTAAGGGAGCTGAGCACAAATAGATGCCGGCGCGTTACGTGAAACACCAATGGCATGCCTCAAAAACGGATTTACCTAAACAGAGAAGTAGCGAGGCTGGTAGAAAAATATTGTAAATTTGATCAGTTACGATAGATTTCTTATTTCAAGTAGATTTTGTTAATTCTTCAGAATTAAGTGGGAAATGTTTTCAGATGCCAAAATTTCATTTGATACATAATTCCTGCAATGTCGTATCTGAGAATTTTTAATTGACACTGAATTCCGAGGGGAACTTAAAAAAAAAAAATAATAATAACAATACTCGCTTTTGTACTTGAAGAATTCCTATTTTGTTTTTTAGCGAAAATTAATGTTCTTGAGCCAGTCTCTAGAACAAACAACAAACTCACATTCCCACCTTTTGTGCTTCTGTCAAACATAATGGTAACACCTGCTAAATAAATCACCGGAGCAGAAAGGAGATCGCACCTAGACCATCAGTTAGGGGTCGATGGCAGGCGAACCAAGTTCATTAGTCTCCCTAAACTGCAAATTCAATTATCCGTCCACCTTAAGAAGCCGACTTCATGCTGCGGCGTGTAAGCCAAGGAAATGCGCCATAATTCATGTAAATCTATTTATCAAAATTCTGACTTAATTTTTTTTAGCTTATTTACTTTTCAACCCTGAAAATACTGCAAACATAAACATAAATTGACGGCAGCGCTCAGTTGAGAGACTGTCCTGTCGGACATGGTAGCCTCAAAACTACTGTCGCGTTGGAAGACACACGCGGTCGATTGAAGGTCAACTTTGCGAAATTGTTTTTCTTCGGTTAATATCTTTTAGAATTTGTAATATTCCAGCATTTTGTATTTCATGTTCGTCTCAGGCACCCACACACATACATGCATACACAGCTATCAAATATGCCTCTCAGCTGTACTGTGCATTTATGAAGCGAGATTTTTCCTTCAGCTCCATTAAAAAGTTTGTATAGGCCTTAATTCGCTTTAGTCCGCTTTTATATGTACACACAAACTTGCTTCCAAAAAGGTATTCCTCTGTACTTGATTACTTCTTAATTTTTTATTTTTTGCGTTTTATTTTTTTCTTTGCTGACCTTCGCTTGTCATGTATCAACACTTCGGCTGTCACTTTGGCCATCCTCACTCTTGGGGGGAATGCCTTGTGCGATAAAATGTAATAATTTTACTTATTTACTTACATTTTTTCTCACTCGTTACTTTCTCCAACCATTCTTCTTCCTCCTCTTCTTCTTCTTCTTTTGTTGTTATTGATGCTGAGGCGTCACAAATGGCTTAACAAATTGAATTATGCTTACAGAGCGCGAGGGAATTTTTGTTGGCTAGTAGAGTTGTTATGTTTGTTGTTGTAGTGCGTTGCGGTTACTCTCGCCTGGCATTCCTTTATATTGCTCCAAGCTGCAGGCAGCCGCAATGGATATGTTCAGCTGTGTCGCATTTTTTACGGTCTTCATTAATTCTGCTTTTTTTATTTTAACTTTATACTTTTTGCTGCTTCTGGCTTGTCCTTCAATTCCCTGCGTGTGTCCAGCATGTCGTAAAGTCTTCATGGCATAATTGAATTCGAAAACTTTTTTTTTATTTTTGACAAGTTTAATTCGCATTGCGCACTTCAANGTTCAAGTGACAAAATCTTCAATTTGAGCAATTTTTTTTTTTTTACAGGACATTTGGGTATGCGCTGGGATTGATGAAGCACAAAACATGTGTATGTGTGTATGTGTGTATGTGTGTATGTGCAGTGATCGACATCGGCTTGAAATTGCCAAACAACAATTGCGGTGAACCTCTTTCATAACTTTTAATTTAGACGGCACAGTTATAAAGGAATACAGTCAGGAGCAGAGTAGTTCAGTCAAACAGTTAGCCTGTTGAAAGTCCTTAGAAATAACCAAAGGGTAAGGAGGGATCAAATCTCAAATGGTTTGCTTCACGAAGATAAAAATTGAGTCTATTTAAGTTATTTTGCAGACGAATTGCGCTGGAAAGCATGTGACGTTTCGCATTCTCCTCTCGCTCGATAGATTAGGGATAGGGCGTATGGGCTACAGGTGGAGGCTAATTGAGGTCGCCTTCATCCTTAGCGTAGCTAAAAGTTCACCATCGCATAAGGGTCTACAAGTCAATTGCACCGCGTCCAGATTTGAACTATTGTGCCGCTATTTTCACTTTAATTGTTTAGTATTCAGAACATTTGTATTAACCCCGGCTGCGAAATCTGCATTGGACCAATATCGCTGCCCAAAAGTATAGAGATTTTAGTTCTGGCCTGTTTAATAATACATGGGCGGCCTCCAGTATGGCAGCCAGTTTCACCTGAAATATCGTTGCATCTTTAGTTAAGGAAAAATATGTGCAGAACCGCGGTCTCACAACACCCGCACCTACACCGTAAGGTGTTTTTGAGTCATCGGTATACAATTTTTGTGAATCAGCGTGCAGTGAGGTTTCTGCTAAACTTTTCACGAGCAGGAAATATGATCTTGTACCTCTTCGCAAAGCTGACGATAGGATCAGTTTGGTTTGAGTACAAGGTTTTGTGTATAGTTACGTCCTTTCCCTTTGAGATTTCAACGTATCCGACAATGTTGCATTGTTTGATATTTTTCGTTGCTGCCACCTCCTTGCCAGATGAAGTGGTATAAAATTGAGTAGGGCTTCCATACCTGCAGTGAGTATTGTTTTCGCTGCCTCCGTTATATTTAGAGAGTCGTTGGATCAGGCACATTTGTTTTTATGCCTGTTGTTTGAGTAGTATTTTTCCTCCATACGAGTGCTCCATACACTATTATGGGTTTGACCGTCTAAGTACTTATTGACCCAGAAAGTTATTTTAGGATTCTGCTCCAACTTTTTTCCCACTAGCTGTTTAGTGGTAGACAACGATTTCTTTGCAGCTTCATATACTTTTTATTTAATTTCATACTAGTGCTGAAAGAAATGGACCACAAAGTAGAACAAAATTTTAAAGCATAACAACTGAATGTAAATGTAAATATCAAATGGCCTAATGCGAGTACCACACTGCAGGCATATTGATTCATCTTTTACTTTAATAATAATCAATCTGTGGATTAGAAATTTTTTAGACCTTCCTTCTCACTTCATTCTAAGTAATTAAAGTATATAGCGGGCTTTGGAGTCACGAGTACCAGCTACCATTTCTTCTCATTTATCCTTTTCCCATTGAAATTTGTATATCCAAAAATTAATTTAACTATTTGCTTTTCTATTTAGTACCTGTGCCACTACCACTTCTAATCCATGTCACTTTCTTCTCTTCTCTTTATACAGACTCTGCTTCGGTGGTGGTGCACGTCATCAATGGTGAACATCCGG